CTCGGGGCCGACGGCTTGGCTCCAGCCAAGCAGCCCCTCACCTCAGCCGACGCCCCGCCCCGACCTCTGGCCCGCCTCTGCCTAAGCACTTACTTCAGTCTCCTTCCGAGATAAGAGCTGGGTGAAGGACTGGTGGCCTCTCTCACTCAGAGTGCACAAACCTGCTTGTGCATTGGGAGGCGGTACACTCGGGACAGGGAAACGAAATGTGACCGCGGTTCCCAGGCCCTAGTTGGGGGCACTTAAGGGGCAGCTACCACCTGCCTGGGCATCCCAGATAAGACAGCACCACACCTTCCTAATCGTCCGGAGGAACCCTAGGCCGACCATATAGAGGTCAGTGGAGGTCTGGTTTTCTCCGAAGACGCCACTGTTCCCCCAGTCTGCACCGAGATGGGTGTTCCTCTCCGGACACGCCCCTCCCCCAAACCCAGAGCCAGGTCACCCATCCTTTCCAACCTCCCCCTCACCACACACCTTGGCCGCAGCCTGGCACTAGCCAAAGTGGCTGTTTTTGCTCTGTGGGCTCTCCTTCCTCCCCTTGTTTGCCAAAGTCTCCAATAAACCAAAGTCCACATCCGTTTTACTCCCCCTTGGCTCCCCTAGACCACAACTACAGCACCAATACCAGATGGGTGGAGGGAAAGGCTTCAGAGAAGTTCAGGACTTTCATGGGGGAGATGGGTTGGGAAGGGGAGTCATTAAGTGACTCCAATTCCAGAACAGAAAGCCGTCTGTCCCCAAGCTGTGTTCTATCAGCACTCCCCCACACAGCCCACCAAAACAGATGTAAACCGGAGGCTCACTGGAGCCCGTAGGCCCTGGAGAAGCTTTTCATTTACCAAGGCACAGGCTTTCCCCTCTCCTTGGCTGGGATTCACTCAGGTGGTAACACTTCACAGCCCTCCCCATCCAGTAACTCCAAGGCAGGCAGTGGGAGTTGAAATTTTTAATATCATAAATCGGTGTCCGGCCTGCCTTTTACTGCCAGGCCACTTCTTGGGCCTCCTATCTTGATACTGCCTGGAAGGCTGCCCGCAGCCAGGGCTTCCCCCACCCCCTAGGAAGGGTCCAGTACCAGCCTGAAAGGGGAAGTAACAGCAGCTTAGGGAGTGGAAGCAGGAGGAGACAGAAGCTTCCGCAGGAGCGTGTGTGAGCGTGTGTGAGCGTGTGTGTGCGTGTGTGTGCGTGTGTGTGCGTGTGTGTGCGTGTGTGTGCGTGTGTGTGCGTGTGTGTGCGTGTGTGTGCGTGTGTGTGCGT